GGGGGTTGAGCCAGCCCCCTGTCACGAGGTGGGTTGTCCTCTCCCCCCCTTCACAGCGGGGCAGAGGAAAGAGGTGGAGTTTGGAGGCCTTGTGACCCCCACCCCCCGACAAGGGAGCTGACACCATCAAATAATCCAGGCATCTTTCTCCATAGTGGGGTGCTGGAGCCCAGGGTACTCCTTCCTCCACTTTTCCCTGTGGGGAAGAGGGTTGGAAGCATAAATGGAAATGGGGGACCATGGCTATGTCTGTTAAGAGGCTAGGCTTCTGGGGTGAGTTTTAACCTTCCCCCCCTTCTTTGTTCATTCTTTAGGTACAAAAAAGGTGAACTCTCCCCATCCCTGGGCTGGGAAAATTCCAGTTCTTTTAGGAGCTGTTTGCGTGGAGACTGCCACTGGGTTTGAAGCAATACACAGCAAGGCAAGCCCTGGGAGCCCAAATGTCGGTACTTTAGTCCCGCCAGTTGCCAGACATGTGGCTTTGTGAGAGGGAACTACCCTCCCAGAGCACATTTTTTTTTTTTTTTTTTGAGACAGGCCGCAGGCTGGCCTCAAAGTCACAATCTTCTGCCTCCACACAGCAAGCTGGGATTTGCAGGTGTTGTGACACTGTGTCTGCACCTGGCTTTTGCAAGCAGTTTCTTTGCCCATAAAATTGGAAGAGCAGTTACTTTTTGGTGATGTGTGCCTGTAGTCCCCCGCCACTTGGGAAGTTGAGGCAGGTAGTTAGGGTGAGCTTAGGCAACTGAACAAAGACTCATGCTAACAACAGTGGGAAAACAGCTGCACCTGGGCTCTCAGGTAGGGCCAAGGGCTCCCACACTAGCAAGCTTGCTAGAGGCCCTGCCAGGAACACCCAAGCTTCCTGTTCACAGCTGTTGCCCAGAGAGGGTGGCCGTAGGAGGGGAAGCCACACAGTAAGGTTTGGCATCGGACTGAGCAGGCACATGATTGTACAGGATGGCAAGAGGGGAACACCTTATTCCAAGGGTAAGGGTGCCTGGCCAGGCCCAGGCCTGTTGGTTTTGGCTTCAGAGAGCACTGACAAGAAGTGGGTGTGGTGAGATGTTTCTGTGGGTTATTAAGGGTCAGCTCCATCGGCCAGCTAACATCCCCACACCGCAGGTTTGTTGCTGTCTACAGGGACATCAACCAGTTTATCTGAGTTTTTGCATTGCAAAAATCCAACACTTCCGGCCAGAGTGCCTGTGGGCCCAGCCACCCAGGCAGGATCCAGTATGAGGCTGTTAGTGCCCCCCTCCCCCAGCAGGGACTGGAATGTAGCCCCGAGGAACAGCACTTTAGTGACCCAGCACCTGCCTGACACGTGAGGCCCCGTTAGTTACATTTCTAACCAGCAGAAAATAAAGCGGGGCCTTTCCTTTGTTTCAGTCTGGGAAGGTCCAAGGGCCCCTTCCTTCCCGAGAGCTACTTTCTGTATTGTGCTGAGTTTCTTCCAGGAACTCTGTTTCTTCCTGAAGTTCTGGAGACCTCTGACCTTCCCACCCGGAGAAAGTCGCCACAAGCTACCACTCAGCCCTTTTTGGATCAGGGAGGCTCCGGAGCCCCATCTCCCCGCCCCCACCCTGTTTGCAGAGACAAAGTCCTCTGCCACCTCTCAGGGCCAGGCAGCACAGGGGAGAGGGACCTGGAGCC